ATTGTAGGGGTTAAGGGTTTGGACATTTACAGGGGCAGTTTTTGAATTGCAGGTGTCTCGTAGGTGCTTTTTTAGGAGGTTTTGAGGTGGTAGTTAGTGATTCACATTCCCTTTACAGCTTGGTGGTAGGGGGCGTCCACATTGTTGTGGCATATTACGGACAAAGTGTTCGTCCCTTGTTTGAGCCAAATCTGGGTTTATACATGATTTGTTGAGCTCCCTCTGGTTTGTGTCGGTATTCACTGACCTTTGGGAAGTATTTTGACAGTACTATGGGTACCTTAGTGGTGTAGTGTATCTTGTAGACCAGGCCCATTGCAAGTTGCTGTACTCTGTCGTCTACTCTAAGCCATCCTAGGTTGTCAAAGTGGGCAGGGGTGAGGTGGGTTCTAGCAATAAGGTCAAGCAGTAGTCTGACCAGTTTTTTTTGTGATGTTTGTAATTTTGTTTTTAGCGCCTTTGAGGTGCTTTGGTACCATGACGTGCAAGCATAGTCATAGTACCCTTGAATGAGTGCTCCTGTCAGAGTCTTCAGGGTGTTGTTGTTTACCAGAGAGGAGATCCGGTACAATAATCTAGTTCGTTGGTTGACTTTTTTGATTACATTGGATGCCATTCTGTCACAGGAGAGATTTGCCTCTAGCATGGAACCTAGGTATGTAATTTCATCGTTCCTTGTGACAATATTGTCACCCACTGCAACTGAGAAGCCGTCAGTCTTGCTGAGTTTGTTTTTTGAACCGAAGAGAATGGACTCTGTTTTACCCAGGTGTAATGATAGTTTGTTATCGGCGAGCCAGGTGCCGAGTTCCGAGCTGAGGGTTTTTTAACCTGCAACTTGTTCCTGTCAGAGACCAGCAGGGCTGAGTCGTCCGCGAACAGGAACAAGCTGACGACATGCCATTTGCATAAATTAGGAACAGTAACGGTCCTAGTATGCTTCCTTGTGGAACACCACAGCTCACTGGGAGGGGGGGGGGACAGAGTACCGTTTACCTCCACCATCTGTTCTCTCCCCTCCAGGTAGGATTGCATCCAGCTCACTGATAGACTATCAAAACCAATTGCTTTTAGCTTGTCAATCAGAATGGAGTGATTGACAGTGTCAAAGGCCTTTTGTAGGTCCAGCATGACCATGCCGCAGTACTTGCCCGCCCGCGTCAACCTCTTGTTTGATGTGGTCGTTCAAATAGAGAAGGCATGTGTCAGTGGAGTGGGATGTTCTGAAGCCAGATTGGAATTTGTAAATTCGATTTTTTTCCGCGAAGTACTTTTCGACCTGTTCGTATATTATTTTTTCCATGACTTTCGAGATGGAGGTAAGAATAGAAACAGGGCGGTTCTAAGGGGTTATTCAGTTAAGCCCGATGAGAGGGGATACAGCTGTGCACATGTCATCATTAACAGACGTCGTTTAAGATTGACGTTTAAGTGAACAAGGACATCCCAATTAATACCTGAGGACTCCTCTGTCCTTGCATCACCTCCTTAGCCTCATCCCAATACCCCTCCTCGACTCCTCCTTTCCCTCACTCGCGTCCCTTCCTTGCATCTTAGCTCCACCTCCGTAAGATGCGAGCGAGAGACACGAGGAGGTGAGGCGAGGTATGGTAAAAAAGCAAAAAGGCCTCTCAGACGCTCTTCCGTTTACTTGTTTAATAAAGAAAAACAAATGGACGGCAGATACACGGATTGCCAAGTCAATCGATTTGAACAAGATCATAAAAAACACATTATCACACATTAGATCAATCATTAGACACAAGAAGGTGGCTCCTTGTGCACTCCCTCCATTTGTGTGATACCTTATCATGGGTTGCACATTCTTACTTGTTGTTCTGCTCTGAGTTGTTCAGCTTGTGTTATCTATTCACATGAATTTCAACCATTCAGAAAGAAACTTTCTTCTAATGAATATGCATACTCCTGGCCTTTCTGATGTAAACACATTATCAGCAGCTTAATCAGTCTTTAAACATGCAACATATCTGTTGGATTCATTTAGGAGGTTGCACAATGTCTAGACTAATGGTTAGGCAATCGTATGTTTTATATTTTATCATATGTTTTTGGAAATCTTTACACACATAGGCCTACAGGTAACTTACGTACAAGATTCACATTTTCTAGCTGAATGCAGTTTCAAACTCATACTCTCTTTAGTTTAATTTGTATCTGTTTTATTTGTATTTCACATTCTATCTTGTGTTTTTTCATTATTTTCATGTAGTTATATTAATCTGTTAACACTGTCATCTCTGTTTGTTAATCTGTAAAGTCTTTCTTTTCTTTTCGTAAGAGCTTTTTAATTGAAACATGACAGCTGTGGCGTGCCCTGACTTCACGTCACTGAGCTAGATGAATAGAGAGGCGCAGGAATGAGTCCTAAAACCCGGAAATGACGTAGCATATTCTCTCCTCTTGAAGTCAATGTTTTTGATTAGAAGCCTGAAACAATCTGTGGTTCAAACAAGCAAGAGATTTTCACGTTTTGTTTTGGGACATCAAATACATCATCACGCCAACACAAATCTGTTTTTAGCCTAGCGTTAGCAATGTGCAGACATTCCCTGATGTCGTTTGTTTATAGCCTAACATTAGGTTTTTACTTCTGGCGTTTGTGTTTGCACACACAGTTGCGTTAATATGTGGAGATTATCATGCTGGACAAAATGTGAAGCTATCATAATGTGTGTTTGCCACAGAGCTTATTTTCTGCCGAGGGCGCCTCTTCAATGCTGACTTCCAGGTTAGCCAACAACATCTCTGCACCACTTTAGAGTCAGGGTAGTCATCCTCTTAGGACACTAATGTTTGCACCACCTTCATCACAATGTATCCAACAGTTTAGTTATTTCTGTTCGTACAGATGTGTAACTACTGACTGCCCTGCTCATCTGGCTACAACCTCATCTATAGTTTAGGAAAAACAACTAGTTTTATTTTGTATTCTTGCATTCCAAATAATCTCTGACATCAGATATTACAGCATATAGAAATATATTTTGAGTACTGTACCACATCAACTGTACAGTTTGTATTTGCAAAGTCAAACTTCATTATTATTTACAATGTCATTATTTACAGTCAGTGTGCATCATGTGTTACCAACATCACTTACATCTTCACTGCTTTACGGACAGTAAAAATACGTTGTTAAGAGACAAACACACAGTAGATATTTACACTTTGAAAGGATGTACCAGGTTCATACATCTGCGCCTAATACTGTAGTTATTAGTCAGTTCAGAAGTGCTTACAACAACCCACGCTATAAAGCAAGATTTGCTATCACACCGAGAGAACAAGAGACCCAAATGGAAGGCAAGACAAACTCTATACCTCAGGTAAAGATCGAACAACATATTTGACATGAGAGGTTAAGACGGTGAAAAAGGTAATGAACATAAAAAAGAACATAAAAGCCAAAGCCGGACCCTCAATAAAATAACGATCTGTTACAAAGAGAGGCAGGGATAACATAACACCAAACCCGCAATGAGTCATCATGCTACCAATACTGTCTCTCAAAATTGAGCATGATAGTTCACTCCTGAACTTTGAAACAGAAGTTTGGCCAAGTTGTCTTTTTTATGACAACCATAGATAAGACTATTCACCGAAGATGATGTTGAAAATGTCACTAAGAGATAGTAAGGTGGTGCAGCTTTGACTACTGACAGTTTGTTGAAATGATGACCATCATTTTTACCAATCCCTAGCCGGATCCTGAATCTAAGCAAACCTTATCCAGAGGTGGCTTATCAGAAAACGCCCCATGATCTCTTTATCAATCTTTGTTAAAATAGTGCTTGTTACAGTTTTGGAAGGCATAAATAAACATATTTTGTCCTTATGTTCACTATTTGTGTGTTGTTGCGTTGAGGTATTATGTCAGCATGTTCTGTACTTTTATTTTCTGGAATGAAAACCTATCATGGAAACTTTGTAAGGGAGTCTTTCTCTTTGGCCACAAAATCCCCACAAAAATCTGTTTTTGGAAGTGAGACCAAAAAAGCAGAAGAGTGAACACAAACAGAAATGCTGAATTTGGCAATCTTACTTTCAAGTGAAATGGAATCACCAATAAAGAAGTTGAAAGATCAAATGTTGTCCTTTTAAATGTAAACATACTCCTTTATGCTGATGACATTTAAAACGTACTCTCTCGTTTTCAAACTATTGGTTAAAACTATGCCTCAGTCCCTAAAAGATCTTGAATCTTCTGTTCAACCCATATCTGTTGGATAAATATACAGCAAACTATTCAAATATCAAAACTTGCATTCATTTAACCCTCCTGTTGTCCTGGGGTCATTTTTCAAAAGAAAACAATTTCAAAAGAAAACAATTAAGCTCTTGGGAGAGAAACGAATGTTTTAGCCTCATGTAATGCTCCTTCAACTTTCGAGTGTGGCAGTCACTCTTTTGACAATAAATAAATACCTGACAGATGACAGCATACTTTTCTTCTGAGCTCTGAATCAACAGGATCCAGTTCATCCACAGAGGGGTTAAGCATGAAAACACACAAGTATGTACAATGAATCACAAGTCTCTTTGAACAGAGACTATTAACAATGTAAAAAACCTAAATCAAACATTTAACAAAAAGAGCTAAAATGACCAAACATATACTATGTTTTGGAAACATCAGAAAGTTTCATCATGGAGTCTGCCCTTTTCCCCAACCTCTTAATACAGTACATAGCACTATCCAACACATATGGAGGCAATATTGTAAGGTAAAGCTATGAACACTGCTTTGCCCCAATTGCTCTCATTTTTAGTCAGGACCATCTATCTTGTCAACTGAAAGAAAACTGACGCTTGCCGATTTTGTCAGCCATATTCAGCTAATAACCACTAAAACACTGATGACAATTTTCTAGCTAACCCTTTTTAAATAAGAGCAATGTTTAAAGGGATCTTCAACATGCATGCACTATGTTAAAAGTCTGAGGCTAAAACTACACACACGCACTGTGTATTCAATTACTCAGCTCGTTTGTTTTTGGAATGCGGGTCTAAAGACACAACCCTCCTAAACACTTGGTTCTTAAATATCTATTTTAAAGGAATAGTTTGGATGTGAAGTGTTGTTGTATGAGGTACTTATCCATACAGTGTGTAACCTAGAGTAGTTTGGATAAACCAGATGTGGGCACAGCAGCTAACTAAGCTACTGCTGTGGTAGGGGGCATTAGTGAACTAACTAAATAGGGCCCACACAAAAAATATCCATATCAGTTAAGGCAAACTTTCTATTCAGAATAGTTTCAACCCTATACCTTGCAGACAGCAAACAGTAGAACAAATTAAGCTTTTTTGCCCATTGAGTTTGAAAAATGTTTTTCTCATGGCAAGGTCATAGTAATATTGTTTTAAGGTAGGCCATTTTAAAATGAGGCTGTATGTCTCTGCCCCCGTCCACAGCAGTAGGGTACTTTGCTTTGCTTGCTGCTATCCCAGTACCCCTGTCTGCTTCTGGGTGTGTGCCACCTGTCACATGCCATCTACTGTATACACTGACTTTGGATAAGTACCTCATAAAACACCAACTCAAAACCCTTCACACTTCAATCCCTTTAATACAGCCCAATAAACACATGTTTATGTAGCATGAATCGTAACAATAAGCTTTATCGTTCACAGAGAGTACATCTGATTCATAATAAAATCAAATAAAAACATGGGAGAAATGAACTGTACATAAAAGTAACAAAAAACACCCTATACAAACCAGTAACAAGAAACAAACTGTACATATGGCAATACTAACGTCACTGTAAGTAACATATAAGAGCTAGCATGTTTACAAAGTGCAAGGTTTGGCTAACTAGCTTACTGCATTCAGATGTAACCTAGCATAATGTCCAAGGCCAAGAGTTTATTTGTTAACATAATTGTTTTGAGGCTTAAAAACTTACATTAAAAGTCCTGTTCTGTCCAAGGACTTCCTGTTTGTAAGAGCTAGGCCTAGATGCAAGTATGAGAGTGCTAATCTTAGCAGCTACCATGTGCTCTTCATTGGATTTGAAGAGGTTTACACTTCAGCTTTATGCTCAATCTTACTTTGTCAAAGTCATTGGTTGTTTTCATCCTCAAAGTCTTTTTATTTGTAAAAGTAAAACATAATTTTTCAAAAATATGAACAACATATTAAAATAGTCTATACTAATGATGTTAACTTTTCATTTAGTCTCAGACTAAATTCAATATCATGCATGCATCCATCATGTCAATACCAAAGGGTTCTCATTTTAAGAGTCACTTTTCAATTCCAATAAATGAATGGATCTGATTAGCATTAAAATAAAGTAAATCCATTTTACAGTTGGGATTTCAGCCAACATGATCAACAGTTGCCAAAAATGCCAAGATGCTTTCAGATTCATTAATGTAATCGTTTTGTTTAAATGATGACCGAAATTCAGATCGTTAAATCTGCCATCATTGTAAACTTCTTCATGTGCAGTGTACCAATTGAACGTTTGACAGTTAGTAACTGTAGCCAAGGGGATCAGGGCTTCACAAAGTTTCATTTCAAGTTTCTCAAACCCTAGATGGCACGTTAAACATCACTGGCAGATTAGATTCAAAAGACGGTATGTACATTTTTTTTATGATATATATATTTTTTTAATATTGATCACGAAAACTGGTGATCCTCCGGCCCCGGCTGATTGGTGGAATGGATTCAGCCCCTCCAACAGATACAGATGTTGTTGTATCTGTTCTTCCTGCACCATTTTATCTATCTCCATGTAACTGTGAAAGTCCTTACTGTCCTCATCCCTCCAATGCCCCCCCCCCCTCACTTGTACAGCAGCTGCAGCCGGCTGGCGTGGCAGTTATTTCGGCTGATTTTGCTGTCTGGCTGGTAGAGGCTGGACGAGTTTCCGAAGGACGAAGGGATGGGATGGAGGTCAGAGATGGGGACGGGGTACCCTGGAGGAGGGGCTAAGGACCTTGGGTCGCTCTGGTGAATGGCGAGGGCCGGAGAGCTGTGGTTCTGATAGGTGACAGAGGAAGCTCTTCTCCTGGAGCGCAGGGCCTGTCGCTCAGTCAGCTGGTTCCTCAGCTCAGAGACACGCTCTTCTTTCTGAGGGGACAGAGGGGCACAGTGACTACGAAGTCATCTCTTGGGACAAGTCTTCTATTTCATGCTATGCTCATTTTGTAATACATTAGATCGTTGACAGGAGTTATTTGGAAAGATAAGAAAACAGGGATGATCAAAGTCCCAGGCTTGTTTTAGACCGGTTCACTGAACATGGCATTTACGGCTTTCATTACCAAAACATGTTCTCACATCCATCTAGCAGGATCTAACCCTAACGATAGTTCTGATTTAGTTTAGATATTTTTGAGAGTTTGATAGTTTTGAGAATATGTACAATTTGAGTAAATGTTAATAGTAAGGTAATTAAATGTTTATGTGTGCTACTCAAAGTCCTGAGTTTTTAGCCTCGTACTTTGGCTTGTTTGAAGAAACCAGAAAAGTAATAGAGATGCCTCAATCCTGTCCTCATATGTCAATAAGTACAGTGTAAAATGATTTGAGGACAATTGAAAATGATATGTTCCCTGTGGAAGGCTGTGGGACAAATGTCATTTGTGTTGTTGTACTTTCAAAACCTACATTTGCAAACTCAATAAACCAATATCTACATTTTTTTACTTTTACGTTGTGAATATGATGAAGATGGACAATAGATGGCTTTCTGACCTCCTGGATGATCTTCTGGAGCTCCTTGTTCTCTCTCTCCAGCTGTCTGGACTTCTCCTCGTCGTTGTTGTTGGTGGACGAGCCGGTCTTAATGGTCTCCTGACCGTCTGACTGCCACTCCCCCCGCGTGATCAGACGCCGCATCTGCAAACCATGCACATGTTTTCCTTACCGTGATAATATTCTTGGGGCAAATAACTGGCACACAAGGACAACACTGGAGAGACACAGCCTCTGCCCAACCAACTCTGAACTTCTCTTGCCTTTTACTCCATATTTAACTCATCCTAAGAAAATAAACGACATTCTACAAAACAATATCGCAAGTGCTGACCCATCCACCTGATAAGATGGACTCCCAGATGTCCCTCCTGCTCTCTGACCCTGTGCGTCAGTTTTTCCTGTTATTATCTGAAGAGAAGATTGTATATGACAAGCAGAGTGAGCTATCAGGGCCACATCTGGACACAGCTGTGAAAGAGAGCCTTATCATACCGGGAGAAACAGCTCTCCCAAGGCTGTTTGCCTGTGCTTAGGAAGATGAGATAAAGGGGAGAAGTAAAAGATACAATTATTTCAAAAAAGAAGAACTAAAGGCCCAATAGATATGTGTAAGTGAAGGAGGCAAATGTTCACTGTGGAGCTTTAATAAGGATATACTTAATTTAGATTTTGGGACCAGATTACATGTAATGTCTGGTTATTGTAACTGGGCCCTGACATTTTTTGTTTTTATATTGAATACTAATATGTGGGGTGATATTACAGTTCCCTTGTGAGTACCTTGAATGTACAGTTGACTTCCACAGAGAATAAGAGTCGAGCCTGCTCCACTACACAGAGAAGTGTTAAATCAGTTCCTTTTTTAATTACTGCTGCGTCACTGTTTACACTGATTTATCAGCCTGTCCTGTAAACAGTTTAGCAGTAGGAGTTGACCATCTCTGATTTATGTTTATTAGACAACTTTCCTGAACTTAGTTTGTATTTCTTGCAGGTACTATATATGTGTGCTGAGCAAGGCATTCCTGATGTGTTTTATTTATACCCTTCAGGGTGCAGGGACATTCAATTCCATTCATTGTGATTTGAAAAATGTTTAGTATGTGTGCCTTGTAGGTTATGCTATTGTATGGTCGTTTAGACGATGTGTTAGCACAACTACGTTGTCAGTAAGTGAGATGTCAAAGTCAAAGCAAGGAGTGCCTGCCAAGGATCTATCAGTCATCTATAAGGCCAGCAGTGTATGGAAACTCCTGGCCTCACACACTTTTATATAGTTTGCTGATGCAGCTTTTTTTAGATGGTTTGGGCCAGGCTCTTTGAAAAGAGATTTCAGATTGTTTGAAGGGGGGGGGGGGTCGCACGAGGCACTTCAGTGTATTACCTAGATGGTGGTTGGCAGGCAGGAGTAACAGCATAGAAGCCAATGAGGATTGCACTCCTGTAGCCGGGGGCAGCAGACTTAGCTTTTACTTCAGCTCCCTCATCTCAAAGTTTTGGTAAGTAGCCTGAAATAGGGTCTTTTGAAGCTGAAGAGATTTTTATGTTTTGTTCTACAATATAAAATACTTCAGTAAACACCCCACTTGTGAACTTCCAAAGCTTTTATGTGCAACAGCGTCATGATCTTTCTTTAGGTATTTCATGTTTGCTGAACTTTATTTTGACATTTATTTTCTCCCCCGCCCCCCCTTGTTATTGTCTGCCCCGAC